CTGGAATGAGTTACCTCTGCTTGTCAGACAGGCCCCCTCCCTCTCGGTTTTCAAATCCCGTTTAAAAACTCACTACTATTCAGTAGCTTTCAACACCTGATGATCTTTTTTTGAACCTGTATGCCCCTCACCGGATATTCATTATATTTATTATCTGCAACGTTTTTATGTCTATATTCTGATTTACTTCGTTTTGTATATTGCGTCGTGTGTTGCCTGTTTTTCTGTCTGTACAGCACTTTGGTTGACATTGTCGCTGTTTGAAGTGCTCTATAAATTGTATGGTTCTTTGCTCATTAACTGTAACACATAAATGGGTTAATGATAAAGTTTCTGTGTGAGTTTAACCCTCCTGCTGCCCTTGGTGGCCTCAGTTTTAAAACCTAAAGACCTGAGGACAGCAGACATTCATATCGGGCAGCGTCCAACCAGCTCTTGGAGTTCAGTTGAGTTTTATACCTTCTTATCATGAATAATCCAACACTCCCGAGTTCCTTGCTCTGCAGGGTGTCACGCTAAGAAACACCACACCTTCACATGTACAGACACAATATACGATCCTAACAATAATAAAAGATTACAGTACATACAGTATATCATAATTCCATTAAACCAGTATTACCAGGACAGAATGGTGTTTTATAAACGCTAATTCACAAAGAGTCCTCCATCCCAATTAATCCATCAGCTCTGCAGGCTGCGCTGAAGCGACATGTGGCTCAGCAATTAGCCGATTCATGAATACCGAGGCTTCACCAGAGCTCAGATGGCTACAATTAAAAGCAGATGCTACTCCGGCTAATGGGGTGAACTTGTGAGGCTGAGACACAGACGGGGGAGAGGAGGGGTGCGATGGGAACCGATGAAAGTGGAGCTTCCTTAGAGCTAATCTGTGAGACTCCCTGCTGCGTCAGATCAGAGAGGAAGGATGCAAACCCCCAACCTCACGAGGCCGAAGGCTCGCAGAGGAGGAGAGATGAAGGAAAAACGATGTGGAAGGAGAAGGCTGGAGAAACCTCGGCTGGTCAGGTGCTTACTGAGGTGAGAAATGGAGAAGGCGAGGGCGGAGGTAGGAAAGCAGGAAGTAGTGGTTAGAGGAAGTAGAGAATTTGTATTTTCTGCTTGTAGCTTGAATCCTGAGCGCTCAATGACTTTACTGAAGTTTGCTGTAGAAGCTGAAACTGAAATGTTAAAGCTCAAAAGAGTAGAACGCTAGCTAAAAGCTAAAAGTAGCATAATGGTAGCAAGAAGCTGAAAGTAACAAAATGCCAGCTAAAAACTAAAGTCAGGAAAACACTTAAGCAAAAAGCTAGCTAAAAGCTAAAAGTAGCACATGGCTAGTTAGAGGTGAAAATAAGCAAAATGGTAGCTGAAACTAGTAAAGGCTCAGCCAATAGAACAATAGCTAAAAGTAGCATAAGAAGAGAGTCAGTTGGCTTATTCTGAGAGAAAATAAAAGTTTTGAAATAAAAAGAGAATTCTGTATTTCCATAGATAAAATATGTTTAAATGTAGTTAAACATTTTCAAACAGATAAAGTTCTGAAAGTCAAAGCAGCCACTTCCTGAATGAGCTGAATGATTTGATGTATGACTGGCTGAAGTAGCACACGGTCTGCAGAAACCAGTAACACACAAAAACATCCATCATCCATCCATCCATCCATCAATATATCCATCCA